CTTAGCACAGGGGTGGAGCCAGAAAGAAAGTTCTGGTGCTGCTCTGGGTCCAGCGGCAGTGAGACTGTGTATGGGCCAGGGGGTTGAGAAGATACTGATGGCAGTGACTGGGTGGGCATCAGGGGAGACTGGGAGGATTACTGGGAGATATTTGAGAATTGGGGAGAGGGAGGACTCCAAAAGCATTGCAGGATATGAGAGTCTAGGAGTGAAGGGGGAGTGAGATTTTTAGAGTGGTTAGGGACTGGATCACTTGCTTTAAAAGCAGCAGGTATAGACTGGACTCTTTACTATCCTCTTGGCAGCTGAAGTGAGCTTTTGAAAATGACTGTGCTGAAACTAGCCCTTCTGGAGCCCAGGGAGAGACCCAGTCTCTGCACATCATCTTAGACCAGAACAGGCAGAAAGAGGCCCATAAAATTTTATGATCATATGGAAAAGAAGAGCTATAACAGTAATAATGGTATAATGGTAGTAAAGGAAGTGAGATAAACACAGAAGAAAATAAGTTTTGTGTTTCCTGGGACCCAGGCTCACACCTCCTGGACCTAGTGTGTGCTGGTGAGGAAAGGAGGGGGGCGAGGGGAGGCGGGTTTGATTCTCACTCATTTCTCACAAGGCGAGTTCTCCCCCCATCTCGCTATTTGCATGAGGTCCGCACAGGCATTCTCCACTCCACAGCCAGGCCTCTGGCTCAAGATAGTGTGTTGAGCACAGGCTCTTGTTTTAACCTGTTTATCTCCAGACAAATAAAGTTAGTGGCTATAGAGCTGCTTGTATCTAAGAGTCTCTTTACTCTCAGCCTTTACAGAATGATTAGTGTAAAGATGTCTGTCAGTCAGCCCTGCCTCCCTACTGTTGTGTGGTGAAGACAGGGCCATGGACACACCTGCCTCCCACCCTGACTCCCCCTCTGCTCTAAGCACAGATTCCCCAGGGCGCCCCTGCCCTGTGGGCTATGCTGACCTGCCCCACCTGGAGCTGCAGGCATCCTCTTTAGGTGTCATTTAAAGGACCCTGTGAAATAGTAAGAGTGTGTGAGGAGAAAGGGGGTTGCTTTGAGGAAAACATGAAGAAAAAGGGAAGGATTTCTGCAGAAAGGAAAGAATGAGTGAGGGGCACTGCTGCGCAAGTCAGGAAGCTTGGGGACCCTGGCAGCGTGGCCCACAAGGGAGAGGCCACTGCCTGGGATAAGCCAAGAGAGTAGGCCAAGCAAAGGGCTGCAGCACGGCTCTGGTGCCCAGGAGCCAGTCGGAGCTGAGTCGTCATCACCCTCCAGAGCTTCCCATTGTC